TGTAGATTTTGCTAACTATATAACGGCGGCTTTGGAAATACGATTGACATTACATAACAAGCTTAACAAAGCCGTAATACCATGTTATTGTAGATGTTGCTAACTATATAACGGTGGCTTTGGAAATACAATTGGCATTACATAATAGTTTCGTTGAAAATGTAAAATAAGGCTGTGATGGCTATAGGATTTTTTTGATCGAGATAAAACATCCAAAACAAGAATTTCTATAAATATGTTTCACTTTTATTTATTCTTAAATTCTATTTAATTTCTATTTCTTTTCTTGGTAAAAGGTATTTTTATTTATTAACATTCTTTACAGTGACATTTATACAGACATTGAAAAACATTGTCAATATGCAATATGCAGGAAGTTTTAAGATAAAAACCGACAATTAGTACAGATCAGACTCATATTTGTCGGACCTCACATGATCCCAGGGAAGGTTTATGAATGGTTAAAATAAAAAAAATTGGCCTTAAAAAATTTCGATTTTTCAAAATCCACGAAAAAAACCAAGTATTGATATACTTTACCTGAACAGATATTCTGTTTTGAACCAGTAACCCAATCTTTTTATCCATCCCCTCAACCTCCTCCTCCAGGCTCTCGTTCTTCCTCATCAACTTCGTCAGCTCTCCCCGGGCCCTGTAATCATATATTTAAGTTTTAGGTCCATATGCTGCCTTTTTAGAAGTTCTTGTTGGTCTAAGCAGGTTAAATTCAATCAGAAAATAAGTTTTTTGTTCTTTTTGTTCTTTTTGCTTGACACAAAAAGATTATCTGTCCAAGTAAGACTTACGGAAACTAAATGCATTAAAGAGACCAAACTCTAGTTCCTCTTGAGTATCAGGTATTCATATATCAATATATAAATAATACCTAGCTAACTCTAGTTCCTCTTGAGTATCAGCTATTCATATATCAATATATAAATAATACCTAGCTAACTCTAGTTCCTCTTGAGCATCAGCTATTCATATATCAATATATAAATACTACCTAGCTAACTCTAGTTCCTCTTGAGCATCAGATACTCGTACATCAAGAAGATGAAGATGTTTTACAACAGTTGTCAGGTCTGCCTTTCCTAATTCGAAAAATTCTGCATGAAGTTAAAATGATCGAACAGAGAGAAGCCAAAAAAAAACGACGGAATAACAAAATAAATTTTCTTGAGCTTAATATGTGTCCTTTGAAATCAAACAAGGTAGAATTTAAAGATGCTAGGTACTTTCCCAAAGGATTTTTCCCAAGTGGAAACTTCCCAAGGGTATTTTCCCAAATGGCAACTTCCAAAGTGTGCAGTTTCCCAAGCGACAACTTCATAAGTCTGTCTGAGCCGCAGCGCTCGACCCCCCAGCCTGTTCTAGCCGCTGCGCTCGACCCCTTAGCCCATTCTAGTCGCAGCAGCCAGTCGCCTTTAGGAAAATGCCTTTGGGAAAGTACCTAACAACAATTTAAATACTTTTTCATAGGCGATTATAAATACTTATCAATAACCACCCCTGAATCTTTTAAGAGCACACCCCTGTAGTAAACATTTTGCAAGAATTCCCTGATTCAATGAGAAGTTTCCACTGTGCTCTAAGTTTTCTAGCTCTCCAGGCTCGCTGGATAATAGTTACTTTCTTTTCCAACCTAAACATTTAAAATATTCAGCTAGCAGGAAAAATTTTAACTTCTTTGCTAGATTTTTTAAACATTGATAAACATTGAACAACTAGTCTTGGTTTAGGTAAGTCTAAGCATTGTGCCGTAGCCTTTAAAGAAAGGATTTTGCATCGTTGATACAAGGCCCCTGAGCACAAAAATACAACAGAATATTATGGTAAATCACTTTACAGCCTGATGTAATTATTGAAAAAAATATTATTTGATATTGTAAAGATAAAATGAGCCGTTTTGATGAATCATACACTTTTTGCAGTCCAATTTCTGACTCATGACATGAATTATTGTTTTTACTACCCTTCATCTTAAAACCCATCTGTGTGTCTATAATTTGGCCTTTTACAATATAGTGCACATTAAAATAAAGGGCATACATTTTAACATCTGTATGCTTGCTGATGTGACCAAGAGCAACTCTTCTTCTTCTTATATCCTCTTCTAATTTCTTCACAACCTAGATAAAATCGAGAAAAATCATGTTAAATATATGTAAAACCGATAAAACTAATTAAATAAAAACAAAATTCCAAGATTGACAAACAGATTCATAGTCAAGACTCATTATTATTGATTGTATATACAACCTTTAGGGGGAAATCTGTTATTCTTAAGAAAAATTTTCTTGTTAAAGGTTTCCCCTTCTTTGTGTGTGCTACTACTACATAAATAAGATTACATCTCCATCACATTTTAACTTATGGCTGGTCTGATGTATATTCGCAATATTGATTTATGAATACAATGATCCCAACAAACCAAATCAATTAATAAAAAAATATCGACTTGAGCTTGTAATTAATAAAGGATTTTGTCAATGGAATTAACAAGTAGTGTCTGGAAGTAAAATATAGGGATATAAATAGACAGAATTTAACCTGGGTGGGGGGGGGGG